CGAGCTCAAACAGGTTGGTGGGGGCAGCAGCCGGGGAGGGGACTCCGCTCCTCTCCCTTTTTTTTGGCCGGGAAAAGGAGGGACAGCCAGAACCCCGCTCCGGTCCGCGCTGCGCTGCCCGCGGCTTAGAGGGGTTTGCTCGGCCGGAGAGCAGCTCCCAGACAAAGGGCTGCGCCGCGCGTGTGCCCGCTCCTTTGTCTGGGCCGGCCCTGGGCCGTGGGTGCGCACGCAAGGGATGGAGATCAAGGCACGAACTAGTAAAAAGGTTTTGCCTAAAAAAAAAAAAAAAAAGTTGCACTTTTTTGCAAAGCGGTAGCAAACGTGCTTTGCATTAGAGCGCAGAACTTGCGCTCGCATCGCATCGCGCCAGCGCTGCGGAAGCCTTAGTAGCTCTCGGAGGGATACAGCTGCAGCCTCTGGCAGCGGGATATGCATAGAGACAACGGGGAAAAACGACTGAGGAAAGCTGAGGTGTCTTTTAAATACCTCTAGGAAAATCCATAGTTTTAAGACAGTGACTAATCCCAAAGAACTTCGCCCAGACGGCAAACACCACTGAATTCCTCAGAATGACTTGTAAAACACCCATTGTGTAGTCTAGATGCTTTGGTCTCCTTGCAGCCACTCTGCAAGCCTGCTAGCTGCTGCTTAACTCTTTCCTCTTCCTGCAAAAGATCATTTGCATTCCAAGAAAATGACATTTAGTTGATAGTCCCGTGAGCCTTTATGTGTCTGGTCCTGCTTTTGATTGACCCCTTAGTACTCAGGGTTCCCCTTGCCCCAAATTCGCTATCCTGCTGTACGTTGTACCGGTATGTTGCTATAGGTAAGGCAGTGTGAGGTTAAGCGTACTATAGTTACACGGCTTCAGAAAGTATTGCATAAAGAGTAAATGTTATGTTACCTGTGCATTCCTTCCACACCAAATTTAACAAGGTGGAGTCTTCTGAGACGTCAAAGTCCTCTGGGAAGCCAATGTTAATATTGTACAATATAAGCCAAAGCTCATATTTTGGAAACATATAAAAGAGATTTTTCTGCTAAGTTTATAGCTGTGGCTGTCCCGTATTTGGTGACATGGGGGAGTCAAAGAGATGTGTCGATTTTAGGAAATCAGGTTACATAATACAGATAATGAAGAAAACTACATAAATGCATTCTCATCTCTTCATGCATACGGTTCAGAGTCCTTTGCTAACAAGCTTGCCAATCTAAGTAATTAGTAACCACTCTTATCTTTCCCTTTTATTCAAATATGTACACCTGGGACACAACCACATCTAGTGATACTTGCCCAAAATACAGCTCGCTGTTTCTGCAGAATAACAAGCCTGCATTTGGTGTGAAAAGCTCAATCTGCCCACGCTGCAGTTCTGCTGGGCTCCAAAGTGAGGTTGCTGGCTCTGGAGGGGGTACCTTAAGCACATATTCTTGCATGTGCCATCTGGTGCACTATAAACAAGGAAAAAGCTTATCTAGAAACACAGTCTGCTGCTCCACGTCCACATGGGGCATGTGGAATCAATCTCAAATGATAAACTGCGATTTTTGTCTGCCCGTTTTTCTTCCCTTTGTTATTCACAATGTCTGCATTTCTACACCTTCACCAAATTACCGTGGCTGCACAGACTGCAGCTATTTTTGTCTTTACAAAAAGAATAATGTCTAACTAGCAGTTGTTTTCTCTGCAGCTGTAGTAATCTGAGTAGGACTACGAATATGACCATTTGTTTTAACAGTTTTGCTATGGGAGGAAGTGCTGAGACATGAGCACAATAAAGTTCATTATGCTTCAGGATACAGGGCTGGAAGGAAAATATCCTCAGACTTCCTTCTGTTTTGAAAACACGGTCCACACACTACTAGAATAGGAGGGAAGCTTTACAAGATAGCATCCCTGCAAGCCTTGTGTCCTAAAGACTTCGGTGCTACAGATAAACCTCATTTAAGCAGGTCTTACAACACCCTGATGCTTTCTCTCCCCATAAAACAGAAATACCAAACCTGCAGTACCATACGATGCTGACACAAGGTTGCACCCCTGAGGATTTTAAAATGCATGCAAAATACTGGTCCGGTGCCAGGATAGTAAAGCTGTTTAGGGGAAAGTATACCAGATAAGGAGAAGGCAGAAGTGCAGGACTGTTTGCTTCCACATGGGAGGGCAAAGCTCAGAGGTGGGCTGTAGCAGATCTGGTAAGAGAATAAACTAATACCTCATCTGCTCACTTATTTTTTTAAAAACTCATCAGACTACTTTGTTGTAGTAGAAACTAGCATTTAAATCTGTCAGAGCCCTTAGTTTTAAGTATATTTCTACCTTAAGCACATAATTTTAATCACTTTAAGTGAGTTCTTGAAACAGGAAACCTGATTTATCTCAGTACTTCTCAGTAAGGACACAGAAAAACCTTCACAAACACTCGTAGTGGTGGCCCCATTTCGCTTTGGTGCCTATAAAGTACAAAACCATTTCAGGTGTTAAATGAAGCTCAATAGAGTCTGCTGCTGCCAACTGAAGGTGCTGTTCAACCCGGCAGGATTTGCAAGGTAATACAGGGGAATTCTCCTAATCCTCGTGCAGCCTGAAATCTCTTCCTAAACGCCTTTGTTTTCTACCAGGCAGGAAAAGCAGTGAAGGAAGGGGTGGCTCCGTTTTGTTGCTTTCAATTCGCCAGTCTCAAGGACAGCTGAAACTTGTAGAATAGATGTGTCCGTTCAGCAAACCAAACTTCTTTAACATAAGAAGAGGGACATTTAAACGTTACAAGGAGTCCACCTGAATGCTTTGCATGTTGACTGCTCTTTCTTCCAAAGTTCCTGTAGTACTTTGCTGGCACAACCAGCCCCACCAGTCTCTACAGCTGATGCAGCAGCACCCGAGTTCAAAGCAAACAAGAGCCGATCTCTGCTGGCGTTTGCAGGAGGCAGTGCAGGTGATGTGCTCCCACATTAAACAGCAGCCCTGGCTGGAGCTGTGCGTGTCGTGTCCTCGCTCTGCGGATGCTGTGGGGCTTGGTAAGAGCTTTCCGCTCTGATAGAAACTCTCTCCCAGTCAGATTCCCTTGGAATCAACAGGAGTTTTGCCACTCTCTTCAAACTCTTTTCTCTTTATCAGAAGAAAATGTACTTTCTCTATGGCTGGAGGGTATAGACATGGGCCCATGTCACAAGCCTTCAGCATTATAGTTTTATTTGGACCCAAATGTCATCTCTGTTGTCTTCTGGACTATTAGGTCAAATACAGTTACAAAGAGACCCCAAATTGCATATGGAGAGGATATGGTATGGGTATATATAAGCGAAAGCCTGGGTTATAAGTGGAATTGACTGAAAAGATAGAACGGAAACTACTTTTAAGGTGTAGTATTTGATTTCACTCTCAATAATTTGTGAAGAAAAATCCCTTATGCAAAATAAATGGTTTTAATGCAGAACTAGCGAAACTAAAGAATGCACAATGTTAGTGATTTGGGTATTGAATTTCCACAAAGCTTTTTTAGCTGAGTGCTAGATACCAAATTTATGTCCATGGAGATAATGTAAGTATATTTTTGCATATTGGGTATGCCATTCTTATTAAATAAATACATAAAATCAGGATGAATTACTCGTGCTGTCTCTGTAGTCATAACTAGCACCGTCCTAGCAAATGCTCTCAAGGAAAGAAAGCGTGTTCCTAAGTGTAGTGAATTTAGTGATCTACCACAGCCGAACATCTGCGAGCACATCATAGGTGAAAAATTCTGGCTTTCCCTTCTGTTGCAGCTCCGGGAAACGTACTCCAAGAGCGGCATTGCTTGTCTCACCGGGGAGGAAATCGGAAATTTCATCCAAAACTTGGATCTAATTGAAAGCGAAGACAGAGTGGCTGATCCCTGCTGGCAAGTAAAGTGGCACCTGGGAAAGTTAATTAAAAAGGTATTTGGGAACCAACATGCTGAAACAGTGTTCCTTGATGATATTACAATTTAAAGAATCCTAATAGCAGAATAAGGTGGGGGAGGGGGCTTTTGGATTGTTTTATTGCAAAGCAACAGCCAAGCCACAGCTTCAGCTGTAGAGCGTGTGCTCTGAAGCCAAAAAAAAAAAAAATGCTGACAGTGGTTTCACTAGATTCAGGAAATAATAAAGCAAAACCAATCAGTTTTTACTAACCTAATTTGTCTGAAACACACTCAGAGAAGTGCTGACTCGAGCTTGTGTTCTACCTGACCATGCAGACCATAGTGCTAGCAGAGGTGTCACTCCCTCTTTGGAAACACAGGGAGACTGGCATGAGAAAATGAGGTGAAATGTAGCACGGGGAGAGGTAAAAAGGTGCCTGAGCAATGGTCTAGTCATGAGCTGCGTAATGTATCAGGGGAGGAAAGAGTGAGCAGCGAGCACGCAGCATCGGGCACAGCACCTTCCCAGCTCAGCATGCAGAGAACACCATCTCCTGCATGACTTACACACAATACATATAATTTTGGCTACAAAAAAGAAAATAAGCCTGGCCGAAAAATCAGGCTAAAGTCTTCTACGAAGGTTTTCAAAATCCCATCTCCAGCACATAAAAAGCTCATCCATAAAAATTCACTTCTGGCTAAAACTTACCTGGCAAATCTTGCAGCCCAAAATAGATCCTCTACTTGTATGTAGAGATGTCTGCTCCTTTGGTGGAAGTTCTGCCAGTAAAGTCCCTGAACTTCTGCATAAGAAAACATTGTTTTATTTAGTGGACATTTACACATCTAATAACCCTACTAGGTTTGTGATTGCTTAAAAAAAGATACCCTGGGTGCCAGAAAAGATGATGATGATAATAATAGATAGATGGATGGTAGATAAGATAAATAGAAATGTGGCAGGGCAGAACCTATCAGTACGTGGCAATACAGTCTGATGTATTCACCATGTTAGCCCATGTTAGTCACCCAGGTAAATCATCTCAAACCATCAGCTTGCTGCCCCTGCATCACTGTTGGCATCCCAACTACTTCATTTCAGTAGTCAGCAAACAGAAAGAAGGGGAGTGCACAAAGAAAGATATGCTGGCTTAAGGGCTTAGATAAATAGATAAGTAAAGGTATAAAAATAAATGAAATTTCATTTCTTAGAGATTGGATCCCACTGAAGTGCACAATGCCAAGCTGTGAGTGAAAGCTGACACTTGTACACTGTATCTCTTCTTATTTGAGAAAAGCATGAGGGTCAAATTTTCCAACAGACTTAAAGTCCAGATGGCTGAAGGTGTTTTCCCACATGTTTTATTACATAAAAGATGTAAACGTAGAAATACTTTATTGTAACAAATAGGCTTTTTTGATTTGCTTGTTGATCAAATCCAGCATATCCTTTATTCATGAGCTTGAGAAAAGAGTGTCAGTTTCTGCTGACAAACTAATTTGCTTTCTCTGTGTTTGTTGGCAGATGATGTCAAGAAGCTACGAGGAAAACATATCTGCAGTCAACGGTATTACAATAATTTTATTAACTGGCAAAAAGGAGCTGCTAGTGGCAGTGTGTAGTGACTCAAGGAATTTCTTAAAAATGCAGAAAACACTGACTAAGATCTCATACTGGCAACAAGTCATCAAAAAATGATTCCTTATTACTAGAAGGCAAATTTTCAGGAGCCAGAAATATGGTTGAGTGGTTTGAGCAAGGTAACCAAGGTGGATGCAGAGGGCATCTAGACCTCAGTCCCACAGTGTTATGGGGACATTTAATTCTGCTTTCCTGGAAACAAGCAGCACTGAACTGCTGTGTGCATAGAATCACAGAATGGTTTGGGTTGAAAGGGATCTTAAAGATCATCTAGTTCCAACCCCCCTGCCATGGGCAGGGACACCTTCCACTACACCAAGTTGCTCAAAGCCTGATGCAGCCTGGCCTTGAACACTTCCAGGGATGAGGTTGACGATCGATGCATAGATTGATTAAGAAGTAAGTCTGCTGAAGCTCATACAGCTCGAAATATGTTGAGTGAAACCATTACAACCTCCAAATGGAAATTCAGAGTAAAGATAATGAATACTTAACCTTAAAGAATACTGATCATGAATATGAAGATTTGGTACTCTGGGTTAAGTTGTCTGTTGGCAATTTTGGGTTGGTGGAAGGAGAAGATGGAGAACAAGGAGGCATATAAAGACATTTCAAGGAGAGCAAGAGCAAAAGAGAAATTTGAACCTCATTAGCCAATAAGCAGCATTCAGTCTATGACTTAAGTCAATGAAAAAAAAACTGATAGACATATTCCTTAAAATCAGGTCAAATGGGACATGTGTTTACCAGATGCCAGATGTTTCTTCTTACATCCTTGCTTCGCTTCTAACGTGAGATTCCGTTTCTGGTCTTTCCTTAGCTGAGCGAGCCCTGACGCTGTCGCACACCGACGGGCAGCAGCCGCGCGGTCCCATCAACAGGATCGCGGCGCATCTGACGGGCAACAGCAATAGGAAGAATTCCCTGTCCCCACACAGTAAGGAAAAACCTTTAAAAACAGTTAAAGATCACAGAAATTACTCTCTCCTTGCTAGCCTTGTGCTTACATTTACTACTTGCATTGAGTTAACAGTAAGAAACAAATCATAAAAAGAGACTTCTTGTCTCAGACAATGGTTTGGGACAGGGAGAAAGCCCATTGCCTCTGGGTACCTCCCTACCTTTTCTTCTGGAACCTTTGTTAGGGGAAAATAAATAAATATCTTTCTTCCTAACATTAAGTTTTCCTTTTTTCTTTAATTTCCTTCTGTTAGTTGTGGGAGTCCCAGCTGCCATGGTGACAGACCTGTTAGAAACATGAGACAGAGACAGGAGAGACTTGACATTCAGGCCATATTAATGAAAGGCTTGGTAGGGTTTCTACAGCTTTGGAGGGTATGGGACACAAATGGATGTTTTAACTTTGTTACTAAGTAACAACATGATGATTTTTCTCTTATTTGGGAGCACAGAAATTGAAAATAAAGGTAGTTCATATAAATTCCCACATAGAGCTAAGCAACTTACTCCTGGATCTTCAAATTGTTTTGAGAATGGACGTAATAGCCACTGTGAAGAAGAGGTTTCCTTACTTCATTGTTAAAAAACAGATTATCTGACTAGCAGGCACCTGGCTTCACTACCTGGCTTTTAATTTAACATTTTCTCTCTTTTTATTCTCCAGTAGATTCCTCACCCAGAAGAGGGAATGGACAAAAAATAAACAACTGGGAATCGTCAAGGTTTTTCCTTCACAACGTGGAGCTGAGAAACGGCGAGTTAGTGATACCCCAAACGGGCTTTTATTACATCTACTCACAAACTTATTTTCGCTTCCGTGAAAACGAGAACGAGGATTCAGATTTGTTGGCTCAAATCAGGAACCCCAAACAGCTTGTCCAGTATGTTTACAAACTGACTAACTACCCAGAGCCCATTTTGCTCATGAAAAGTGCAAGAACAAGCTGTTGGTCTAAAAAGGCAGAATATGGACTTTACTCCATCTACCAAGGTGGTGTGTTTCAGCTGAAAAAAGAGGACAGGATTTTCGTCTCTGTCAGTAACAGTGACATAGTCGACATGGACAAAGAAGCGAGTTTTTTTGGAGCCTTTATGATCGGTTAAATGATGAAAATCGTGCTCCAAAGGAACCTGTTTTCCTAGTCAGGACCAGCTTAAAATTCTCCAAAATCGGGGATCACAAGCAAACATTGTAGCAATACTGACAATACCAGGCTCTCCTTTCTCAGCTCACTCAGTGTGAGGTCCGACCACGCTGATACCCTTCCCACCAGCCGGGCAGGAGCAGCAGCAACTGGCGGCAGCTACGGGTGGCCATGCTTTGAGCCGGCACGTCCACCACGGCTTGCTGCCCAGCCAGGCTGGGGACGCGCAAGGATTTCACACACCACAGATGATCCCTTCAGCCAGAACCCTGGGCAGGTAAGCGCTCACCACCACCTCCATGGAGATGCTCAGCGCTGGCACAGCCACGGCAGGTGGGATGCAGGATGCTCCGGGTCTGGTTACTGGAGGCTGAGTCTGGACATGAAATTTTATCCATGCTCTCCATCGGGAGTCCGTCTTGAGTATCTCAGCTCCTGTAAGGAGCCTCTGCAAGTGCTGCTTCCCAGATGCCCATGGAATTCCTCCGGAAGTTTTTTGTTTGAATCTGAGTTTTATGAAAGCGAAAGGCCATCAGAAACTCAAACTGCACGTCTTCATCTCATCTAATGAAGCACTTAAGCACCTAATTAATTTTAAGCACACAAACAGTCTGACTAAAACAGGATATTTAGATGCTTGAAATTAAACATGTGCTTAAGCGTTCTTCAGGATCGTGGCTTGAGTAAACACATTAGTCTGTCTTTATCAGGATATTGTACATAAAAACAGCTGCTGAAATGACACAGAAGAGGTTTTGAAATCAGTGAATATTTTGATCAGCACATTACGATAGTGCCTATTTACTTAATTGCTGTGCTGCAAAGATTTTGCTGGGCTTCCAACAGGTTCAGTAACGTAGTTGCTGTTACACTTGTTGACAGCAAGTACTTGATCCAGAAAAAAGGTGTTTTTCTGTAAATACTGAACTCTATTAGACGTTTGCCACAAATTAAGCATGACATGGTTCTTCCACATTTATTTGTACTGGCCTGTATTTGGTAGGATGTAATGCAGAATAGCACACCCTGATGACTAATATTTTGAGGGAAACAAACACAACTATCCGTACTTAAACAAGAGCTGCACATTTAGGTAATGCTGTTTTGATTTTATTTTATTTTTTGGAATGGGTGGGACATTTTCATACTTTTTTTTAAACCATATTTTTTAAAAAAAACTGTCCACTATATTTTTTAACTCTATGAGTAGGACTATTTTGTGTTAAAAAAAAGGAAAAAAGAATTAGAGGAAAAAAAAATTCCAAGTGTAAGCTGAGTGGGCTAGATCCACAGGAAAAGTCAGGTAGCATAAATCAGCACATCCGCAGCACTGTCAGTGGAGCGATACCAGTTTGCACCATGAATGCATTTTGTCCAGGTTCTGCAAAAACAGTGGGGAAAAGAAGGTGAAAGTGAAAAAAAAAAAAATGGGAGGGAAAGACAGACAGTTGTCCTGCAAATGTTACTTTATGTCAACTGAATGATGCCAGGAGAAGGTCTGGTTGTCTATTTTTTTTTAATACGCTAAGGTTGCCGTGGGAACCCTGACATTCATCTCCACATTCTGGTAATTAAATCACTGTACAGCCCTTGCAGATGAGCCTCAGGAGTAAACATGCATCGTTCACCTTCCTACCTTGTCAACAGGAGGGAACGAAGAGACGCAAGCCCCGGCGTTTGTTTTGTCATTCAGAAAAGCAGGTACGTTGGGTCACAAATACCTGTATGTGAACAGCAAGAGAAAAATTTCAGGAATATCCTCCTTTGACAGGTTGGGGCAAAGAAACACACTGCCATACGCCTAAAAACCACGAGTTTTCGCTTTGGCCTGCTGTTCTAACATAGCGTCACACACAACTGTTTTCAGCGGTAATCGAATCCCTGAAAGTCTTCATCGTTTTCTGGAACCCTTTGGTGTGCCTCATTCTCAAATCGTCTGTTTTGACATAGAACAGGAAATATTTCTACAGTTTTCTTTCTGATTTCAGTGTTTAATTCAGAAATTTTCTGCCCACCAGAAAAGGCTAGGGAGAACAAAGCCATTCCCTACATATGTGGGTGTCTGCTCTAATGGAGGAATGACTTTGGTAGGTTCTCCTTGCAAATGGACCGGGATTTTTGATCTCAGCACAGGATTGACCCTTGTTATCAGGTTTGAGGGTTTTTTTAGCAATTTATTATATTAAAAAGTTGTGTTTTTTGTTTTTTTTTTTCTTTTGTTTTGTTTTTTTTAGAAATGTTATTTAGGAGCTTATTTCAAAGAAAATTTATTTGAACTGTGAAAACTATTTTCAATTTACTGGTGGCAGCTTGAGAGTCAGAGACCCTCCCTATGGCTAAGAACTGATTTGTGTAACGTAGGAGTTATGGCTGCTAGAAAAGACTGGAAGGAAACCAGGGGGGACTCCACAAACTTGCAGCTGACACTAAGACAAACAGTCTATTACACACAGCTTTTTTTGCTCTCTGTTCTCTCTTCAACTCTCAATATATAACACCATGCCCGCTGTTGCTTGGGGAATGCTCCTTGGCATTATTTTCCTTTTTTATCTAAATATACATCATCTGGGACTCTGCATGCAGAGCATATCACAACAGGGATCACAACAGGGATCACACCAAATAATCGTATTTTATTTCTGAATAATCCCAAGGCATGCTTGCCAGATATTATCTTGGGGAGAGATTATCAAGCAATAGCAGAAAGGACACATTTGAAGATGAATGCAAAGATATAGCAACTTCTGTTGGTGCATTTGCACCCTCAATCATACTTTTCATCTCACTTTATGGCAAATGGCGAATGTAGCAAATGTTTATTTGTGGATAACGGTTGCGGTAACATGTAAATACTGTAATTTTTCTATCAGCATTTTATATAAAATGTTTTTAGTAAACAGTTGTTTAGTCTTGCAGTGATTATTGGTGTCATCCTATGGCTTCCATAACAACAACCCAGTCTGAAAACTTTTCTCTGACATTGGTTGGTATCAGTTATAATCCATCAAGTACCACAAACAGTTGCAACGCAAAGGACATAACACAAGCCATGGAACAACGTCTTATTGTGTAATGCCACATAACCGGCTTCCAGACCCCGGCTGGTGAACAGCATCTGGAAGCAGTACGCTGAAGAAACACTGAAAACAGTCTCGTGATCAGAGACTACAAAATGCTGAGCACTTCCCTGGAGGTTCTTCTCATCTTTCTGGGCTTTGGCAATTATTTAAGCACCGGGAAATAACCAAACTACTGTAGAAGATACATTGAATTCAGAGGGACAAGGACCATTTCCACAGATGTTGTAGAGCAGCAGTAAACTGGAGATCCCCTAATGTTGAAAGCAAATGCACACCCTGCCCCAAAAGCAAATGCAGGATATTCTTTGGTCTCTCTGCTCCACTTCCAAAATTTGCCCTGATTTTCCCTGATGGAGTCATAATTTAAATACACCCAAGCCCAGTGTTTGTGTTGGGCTTCATTTGGAATAGGTGGGCATGCCTGAAGTCATCAGACGTGTAGGTCCGTGTGTGCGGCTCTCCCCATCCTCACCCAGCCCCACTAGAACTAGTATCCCATCACTGGGGAGGAGCAGCCCCAAATTACAGGGATGCCCACAGGTTTTAAAAAGAAATTATTCCTTTCATAGAGATTGCTTTTATTTCAGCCGAGGGTTCTCTCTTTTCTGGTGTTTCCATGGGAAAGAGGACATGCCAGCTAACTGGCTTTTATTGCACCTTTCACTACTTCATGGAAACGGGCTTCTATATTTTGCCTCTCTTTGCCTTAGTAAATGTAATTATTGTTGTTTGTGTTGCAGCAGTATTCACTGCCCAGGCAGGACCAGGGATGCGTTTGCAAACAGTGCAAACGTTAAAAAGCCTGATTCAGACACTGAGATTTTGAGATTTATAATTCCAGTGTTCAGATTACATCTATTAGGGTTTAAGAAAAGACTCAATGTAATATCAGTATAAGATAAATAAGCATACTGAGGCAAGATCTCGTTCATCCCTCCAAGGCACCTTGTGCCATTCAGTAACAGAAATGGAAGATAAATTAGGATGCTGTTGGGTCTGATCTAGATTTTACAGGTTGGGTTTTTTTTTTACATGGAAGTTTATAGCAATTTTCATCGGAATCATCCAAAATTCGGTTCTCCATAACTTTTCTCTGTATCAACAAACTGAAATTGCACACTATGTCACATGTTAAAAATCACTAATTTTCCTCTGATTACCAGTTAACTGCGTGACCACCACGTCACTGCTGCTTGGTAATACCATGCCTTTTCCCAAGACATTCATAATCCGAACCTATAGAGACATTTCCATTAATTCCTTCTGAAAATTTTAGAGTTGACATCGAGTTGGGACACTGGGTTGTGACAGAAATGCTGTCAAACTGCCCATGGTCAACAAGACGGGGTTGCAGCTTATGGCAGAAGTCTGTCAGTTTAACCAGCTTCCCATTTTTATGAGCTGTTCTACCAGAGTTAATATAAATCAAACTCTTTGTCTTTGATGCACAGAATACTTTTGCACTGAAGACATCACGTATATAACACTCACGGCTTTAGCGAACATTAGGGAATCCAAAGTTGTTCAAACTGCCTTTCAAAAACCAGCAATTTCAACACAATAGAATCCAAGGCACAAATTCCTCAAGACACTTTCAATTCCGTATGATTGTGAATTCTTCAGCTCATATTATTCTCAATTTGTATTGAGTCATGGGTATTTAGTCCATATAACTACTAGGTGGAGACAAAGTGGATTAACTGCAGATTTGCTGGTGTTATCAGCAAATTATAAACCAAGTTATCACTTCCCATTTAATATGAGAAAGAGAAGTATCAACAAGAAAGTACGACAGGACTAATTAACTATGCAATCTCATCCTGCATGTTCTGGCACTAAAAGAACTCAAATCCTAACAAATATAAATAAATACATGTAA